ACACCACTATTACCAATGAAACAAATGTGAGATCTCTCGAAGGAGTTCGTAATGCTTTGGAAAGCGCACGCCAAGAGCTGAAAGAGTTCAAGTGGAAGCCCTAATTTTTTATTATATATTTTTTTTTGCTTTTATAATCTCATGTAGAGACATTTCATTTGCTTATTTATTAGCTAGTGACATATTAATGTACTTAGCATTGTTTCTTTGGTTTAATAAAATTCTTGAATTTTGTTTACACATTTTTTTTTATTTTTTGTTGAGACTGAACTTAAAATTTTCTTTAAGCTGCCTACGTACCCTCCGATGAAAGGGATCAAGTCATAACGTAGTTCAAATACAAGATTTTTTTTTGGGCCGTTCACCTTTTTAACTCATGCGGGCCAGGAGTATCATATAGTTTAGACTATTAAGATAAGGAGTGCTTACATTTCATGCATAAAATCTTTTAAGAAATTTGCCATTAATCGGACCAATTCTCAATCCATATTTATCAACGATCATATATGCTCCATTTGTGTAAACTTCTTTGATGATGTAGGGTCCATCCCATTTAGGTGTGAACTTATTCCTTGTGTGACGCGTCGTGATGATAGGTCTTCGAACAACAAGTACCATATCACCAACTTGAAATGACCGAGGCCGAACATTTTTATTGAAGGCTTTGGTTATTCGAGCCTGATAGCATTCTAATGTTTGCTGCGCATCAAGTCTTTTTTCGTCAAGTGCTTCTAACTCTTGAAGGCGTAATTTTGCATTATCTTCAGTGGTTAAACCTTCTAGCACTGCCATTCTTAGTGATGGAATTTCTCGCTCCAATGGAAGGATAGCTTCTACACCGTAAACTAAAGAGTAAGGCGTAACTCTTGTAGGAGTACGATCAGTAGTTCGATAAGCCCATAACACTTCACCGATCTTCTTTTGCCAATCTCTTTTTGTCTTGGAGACCACCTTCTTCAATAAGTTGCATAATGTCTTGTTGAATGCTTCTGCCAACCCATTAGCTGCAGCATTATACATGGACGATTTATATTGCTTGAAACTAAACTTTTCACATAATTTGTCCATCAGACTATTGGAGAATTGTCTACCATTGTCAGTGACAATTCGTTGAGGTATTCCGTACCGAAAAATTATATGAGTTCGGACGAAATTTACAATGTTCTCTTTCTTTGCCTCTTTTAGTGCAATCGCTTCAGCCCACCTTGAAAAATAATCAGTCGCTGCGAGTATGTAAGAATGTCCAGCTGAAGATTTGGGTGTTATAGGACCGACAAGGTCAAGTCCCCAATATTCGAATGGCCACGAAGCTACAGTGGGGTGTAGAGGCTCTGGTGGCTGATGTAGGAAATTAGCGTGAATCTGACAAGCTTTACACTTCTTCGCATATTCCATAGAATCTTGAACCATTGTGGGCCAATAATAACCCATTCTCTTTAATTGGAAATGGAGCTTTGGTCCAGATTGGTGAGCATCACAAACTCCCGAGTGTGCTTCTTCTAATGCCTTAGCTGATTCTTCCTTTCCTAAACATCGAAGGAAGAGGCCTTNCAGCCCACCTTGAAAAATAATCAGTCGCTGCGAGTATGTAAGAATGTCCAGCTGAAGATTTGGGTGTTATAGGACCGACAAGGTCAAGTCCCCAAGATTCGAATGGCCACGAAGCTACAGTGGGGTGTAGAGGCTCTGGTGGCTGATGTAGGAAATTAGCGTGAATCTGACAAGCTTCACACTTCTTCGCATATTCCATAGAATCTTGAACCATTGTGGGCCAATAATAACCCATTCTCTTTAATCGGAAATTGAGCTTTGGTCCAGATTGGTAAGCATCACAAACTCCCGAGTGTGCTTCTTCTAATGCCTTAGCTGATTCTTCCTTTCCTAAACATCGAAGGAAAATGCCTTCAAATGAACGACGGTAAAGAGTATCTTTGTAGTAGATAAATCGAGCAGCTCTTCTACGTATTTCAGTCTTATGTCGGAAATCCACTGGAAGCTTTCCATGTTGAAGATAATCTAGAATGGACTGTCGCCAATCTTCTTCTTCAATAATGTAAACTGATATAGCATTTGCTTCTTGATGCTCACTTTCGATTGGTGGGGTGACCCATTTCTGGCAGAGTGAAATGTGCAACGTCTCATCTTYTGAAACCDTAASAGCARTAGCCAAATTTGCTAGGGCATCTGCCTTTTTGTTYTCCGAACGAGGAACATGCTCTAGTGTTACACCATCAAACCTCTCCAGTAGTCGTCTCGCATAAACGAAGTAAGGCTTAAGGTCTTCGTGCTTCACATCATACTCCAGCAGAAGTTGGTTGATTATCAACTTCGAATCGCCGTCGATCTCAATGTATGTTATTCCGATTTCTATAGCAATTTGAAGTCCTATGATGAGCGCTTGATATTCARCAGCGTTGTTTRAACACAATTCACCCAGTGTGAAGCTATAGGGTAACATATGTTTCTCAGGTGAGACAAAGACAACACCTGYCCCCTCTCCATTTCTTCGTGWTGCTCCATCAAAGTACATGGTCCAAGGTTCCTTTACTTCAACATAGAATACTTCTTCATCAGGCAAGTCCTCGCACAATTTCCAATCTGATGGGACTGGATGATTCGCTAGGAAGTCTGCCAATGGTTGCCCTTTCATTGCCTTTTGCGGTACGTAAACAATATCGTACTGTTGGAGYAAAATAGCCCATTTTGCCAGACGTCCCGAAATGATSGGCCTCGACAAGATATATTTCATTGGATCAGCCTTAGCAAYTAGATGCACCGTAAAGGCTTGTATATAGTGCCTTAATTTATCGACARCGAAGAAGAGAGAAAGACACATCTTYTCAATTRGAGAGTAGTTTAACTCAGCTCCGATTAAGGTTCTACTCAAGTAATAAARGGCTCGTTCTTTCCCTTTTTCTCTTTCTTGCGTCAACAACGCTCCGAGCGATCTTTCTTGCRCCGTGATATATAATATCAACGRCTTTCCTGCTATTGGTGCACCTAAGACGGGTGGATTAAGCAAGTATTTTTTTATGCTTTCAAAAGCATTTTCACATGCTTGATCCCACTCAAAACTTGTATCCTTCCTCATCAATCTCTGGAAAGGTTGGCATCGGCCAGCTAGGTTGRAGATGAATCTCCTGATATAGGCCAGACGACCCTGAAGGCTTCTCAGCTCATATAAGTTCCTAGGTCTTGGTATTTTTTGAATAGCGTCAATCTTTGACTGATCGATTTCGATTCCCCGAYGTCTTACAATGAAACCAAGGAACTTTMCCGAGGTAACTCCGAATGCACACWTGAGAGGATTCATCTTTAATTGATACTTTCTCAAGCGATCAAAGACTACTTTTAGATCCCCCAGATGATCTTGTCGCTTTTTGGACTTAACCACGAGATCGTCAACGWAACATTCAACATGTTTATGTAGCATGTCATCAAAGAMCTTTTGCATGGCACGCTGATAAGTGRCACCTGCATTTTTTAGTCCGAAGGGCATTAGCTTATAACAATATATCCTTTTCGGAGTTCGAAATGCTGTCATTTCTTCGTCTTTGAGTGTCATCCGAATTTGATTGTATCCTGATGATCCATCCATGAAAGATAAGGATTCATGTCCTGTAGTAGCATCAACCATGATTTCAGTGATTGGTAATGGAAAATCATCCGTGGGACATGCATTGTTTAAGTCACGAAAATCAACGCACACACGAAGTTGGCCGTTCTTCTTTCTTACTGGAACAATGTTTGCTATCCATGTTGGATATTTCACTTCACGGATGAAACCCGCCTCTATCAATTTATTGACCTCAACTTCGATTTGAG